CCTATCTGGGTAGCCGCGTTTGCATGTTCGGATCGATGCGTGGAGTTGGGTACGTCCCCCACGCCGCGGCCTGATCATGCAAACGTAGGCACTCCCTTCCCCTCATCTATCTAAGTCCTTGTAATTCCGTGTTCTTCGCGCATGCATGCACGCTATAAATTCCGGTTGCACGATTAATTTCACTCTCTTAACTATTGCTGGAAGCTCGAGGTTGCGCGACGACGGACTGTCGGCACACGAGCGAAGAAAAAGGTGAGTGAAGTGGGAGTCGGGCGGCCCGACGAGCTGGTGCCGAATGCGCGGGGTTGACGCGGGCCACGACAGACTGTGGGCGCGGAGCGAACCTGACGGGCGCAAGAGGACTAAGCGGGGTGACGACTTTGTGGGTTGGTACGCGACGACGGACTGTCGGCATCGGAGAGTGAGAGAGAGAGAGAGAGAGGGAGAGAGAGTTGAGGTTGAGTTGGACATGGATTTGCATTTTTCTTTTTCGTTCCTTTTTCATCCGTGTATGTAAATTTTGGTGTCGATTACGGGCGACTCGCCCTTGTCTTTTGCGGTCATCTTTGTCTTTTGTTTCGACTCGGTTTTCTCTCAATGTTTTCCGTTTTGTTTTCTTTCTCGGACTTTCTTTTCTCGAAATGATGTATGGATAAACCGCGCACATCTTGCACTTCGTTTTTGATTGACGTCCCTGACTTATGAAATCGGATGGGAATGGAGATGGCATGTTGGCGTGATTGATTGGATGTCTGTCGTCTCACAATGATCGTCTGACGAGCATGACCTGACGTATCGTATGCGCGCATGTAAGCACGATCCGAACGGAGTGCGGCTTACACGCGTCCGGACCACTCGGACCCGTAATTTGTGTCCTATCTGTCGCACATGGTTAGCCCTTCGCCAGGCCGGGAGTTGATATCCACAGGATCGGGTTAACCATCGCCCGCAAGTGCGCGTAAGTGCGACTCTTTCGCATCTTTCTTACGCACTTACGGACGGTGATTTCCCCGAACAGCTTGTCCCCTAGGGCGTGTAGGATGAAAGAATGACAAGCTCGCGAAGCTTCGACGTATCTTGGAATTCCGAGGATTTTGACGCGTATTTCGGATATCGGGAATTCTGGGAAGAAGAACAACGTCGGTTACGAGGGAATCTGAGCAACCCGAAATTCCCTTGTCTTACGGAACGCGATAGGGTATGCGCCAAGGAATTCCATTTCGCCATAAGAAGCGATCCACGGGGACCCGATTACCCAAACACTTATAACACGCAATATTTTATATCCCCCGGTTTCGTCATTGTCGCTCTTAATTTCCTGCCTTATCATCTTCTTCTCCCCTATCATCAGCTCACAGTGGTACCGTGGAATTCCATAGCCCCCTACTGGCCGCGAACTCCGTGCAGGAATTGCAGACGACACGATAATTTCCGAACTCCCAGAGCCGTGGCGTCGAGACATACCCCGCACCAACAGGCGCCACGTGGCGGGACCCGAAGGCCCAGGCCCCCAGGACCACCCCGCCCGGCTTCCTCGAACCAACGAACAAGTCGGGATCAGACGGTCTCGCGAAACCAACGCATAAGCCCTCGCCCGTAATTTTTCCGCCGCTTTATCGCATCTATACCCATGAGCCTTGCCACAGGAAATCTCAGTTCTGACCTGGGACTCCACCCCCACTTTCCAAAAATCCTTGGCACACCCCTTTTCGCACTTCCAGGCCCACATCTCACTCCGATCAGGAAGTCGCGCTGGGCGTGAGGTTGGGCGTCACAGTATCTGGCTCCATTTTCTGAAATTCGGTCCAACTCCCATCTTTTCCATGCGAGCTTCCATGAAATCCCAGTTGACTTGGTCATAGGTCTTTTCAAAATCAAAGAAGAGTATAACAACACTTATTTTTCTCTCCCTAATCTTCCTTACCGCCTCATTTAGTGTCAGTACGTTATCTATGATGTATCGACCTGGGATGAAGCCTGTCTGATCAATGTGGAAGCATTTATTTGTGATTTGGATGAGTCGGTTGGAGAGGGCCTTAGCCAGGATTTTATATGGAAGTGTTAGGAGTGAGATTGACCTATAGTTTTTAATGTCTTCTTTGTCGCCTTTTTTATAAAGTAGTGTAACCACACTGCTGCTGAGTAAGTTATCGAGCCCCCCCTTAGTCCAGCTGTCGATGTAATCGTTTAGCAGCTCCACTCCTAGAAGGGGAAGGAGCCAGAAACCTATGGTTCTATTTTGGGACCCAAAAAAAAAAAAAAAAAAAAAAAAAAAAAAAAGAAGAAGAAGGAAGGGCATCAGCCCAAACGGAGAGAGGAAGAGGGTCTAGAGTCCAGGGTTTAGGGCTTAAGAGCAGCACATGTTTCATCTTTAGGAACTAGGAACGTGTAAATCACGACAGCATTACAGATGAGGGTTTAGGGTTTAAGGTTTAGACAGAAACAAGGCAAACAGGGCTTAGGGTGCTAGAGATTTGAAGAGACCCAGAGGCGTTCCAGACCGCTCTAGCATAACACACCTACCTGACAGCATCACAGCTGAGAGGAGCGGGACTGGGGTCAGACAGATTGGCAACAGTCAGGCAGATTAAATAGCACAGGCTAACTTAGGCAGGGGTGAGGGGGGGTGGTACATCCTTCTTCAGGGAAGTAATGAATGCCGTCCACTCCGGCCTCCCAGTCATAATGGGGAGGAGCGTGCGTGAGTCTCCCATGTAT